ATATATATATATATATATATTTATATATATATATATATATATATATATATAAAATATATATATATATATATATATATATATATATATATATATATAAATATGATATATATGTGTTAATAGATATATAGATCTAAATATATGCATGTATATGTATATTTACATGCATAATATTACATACATAATATATATCTATATATATATATAATATAACATAGATAATAATACATATTTGTATATATATACATAACATATAAATATATGTATATATACATATAAATATATATATATATATAATATTTGTGTGTGTTTGTGTATGTGTGTGTGCGTGTGTGTGTGTGTGTTTTTGTGTGTGAGAGAGAGAGAGAGCGCGCGCGCGTGAGTGATGAGAGTGAGTGAGTGAGAGCGCGCGTGTGTATGTGTGTGTGTTTGTACACGTGTATGTGTAAAAATAGTATGGATGTAGAATCGTATACGCTAAACACATATGCAATCAATTACGACAATTATTGTTGCCGGTGATATATTTATTCAGTATAGTGGTGTTATCTACACAAAATGTACGTGCGGTTATTTCACAATCGTCGTTCCCGCTGTATGTTGATCATAAAAGGGTATTATATGATTTACTACTGGTTCTCAATAGTGTCGTATAGCTCTGTGATTTGATCATTGTACTTCTTGATCGCGTTCACCCGTTTCAGCTTGAAGGTGGGCGTGAGCAATTCATTATCAATGCTAAAAGCCTCCGGCTCTACGATGAAGTCTTTGAGCTTGCACTCCTTGTGCATGTCCAGTACCTCTAAGGCCAACATGGCCTTCAACTCTGGCATTTTAGCGACACTCTTGGCATCGCCAGAGATATTGTTCTCCTGTGCCCAAGCAACAATCATCTCGGCATCGGGCACCACTACGGCCACAGGGCAGGCGTGGAACGAGTCACCTGTCACAAACACTTGCGCAATATGGTCACACTTGCCGTACATAGCTTCGAGATTCTCAGCGGCTAGATACTCGCCGTGGGACAGCTTGAAAATGGACTTCTGGCGATCAATGATCGATAAGGTGCCATCTGCATTCCAACGGCCTACATCGCCGGTGTGGAACCAACCATCTTCGTTGATATCCTCCTTTGTTTTCTCAGGGTTCTTCAGATACGAACCAAAGACATTTGTACCCCTCACACACACCTCACCACGAGGGCACTCATCGGTTGTCATGTAGTTCATTTCAGGAATACTCACCAGCTTAACCTCATTAGAAACCATGGGTGAGCCCACATGGCCGAGCTTCATGTCGTTGTGGTGGGCTATAGTAGCACCTGCTGTTGTCTCAGTTAACCCGTAACCGACCATGATAACTGGACACACACACTCGTAAAAACTCGTGTATCGCCGTGTCGAGGGGTGCAGAGCCCGTGAGGATCCACTTGACACGCCCACCCAGCGCCATACCCATTCGATCGAACACCTCATTGAGCATAAGGGTGTCTTCTCCACGCTCCAGAGCTGCGAGGCGCATGTTATAGGCGTCCTTGAAAGCAGCCACTTTCTCGGGATCTTCGGCCTTGACACCTTGATTGATCTTGTCGTAGATTCGTGAAAGAATACGAGGTACAGCGATGAAGAAAGTAGGTCTTAAGGTTTGAATATCTAACATAAGTTCAGGCAGTTTGCCTTGGTAGAATCCTATGCTACAACCCTGGCTGACGCATACCGCCTGCACCACCCGTTCGAATATGTGAGCCAAGGGTAGGAATGAGAAGTGCACATCTTGATTGCCCACATGGAGACGTCTCTGAAGTGATACTACATTGGACATCACATTGCCGTGGGTAATCTGCACACCTTTGGGGTTACCTGTGGTGCCTGACGTGTACATGAGTACCGCAACATCCGACGCAGTGGGAGGATCGTGTGGGAACACGTTCTCCACGCCCATGTCCGCTAGCTCGTACAAGTTGAACAGCTCAACGCCTGCTTTCACGAATCAAGCCTTGTCCTCCGCTGTGACTACATCATAGCAAATGACGTTCTTGAGGTTTGGTAGACCCTTTCCAATCGCTGCAAGGACGGACTCGAGACGAATCTTCTCGAAAAAGGCCACTACCATTTCACTGTGCTCCATCACGTAATGTACCGAATCGGGACCAAGTGTGTCGTAGATTGCGACGGATGGTAGAGTATATGACGATAGAGCGTGATCACTTAGTGTCCATTCCATTCTATTCTTGGCGTATTGACCGACCGTCTGGTTTATCTGAACGCCTAGGCTCTTCAGTCCTGAGCCGATTTGTGTAGCAGCATCGCTAGCCTCCTTGAAGCTTACAAATTCGTATGCACCAGCGCTTGTGCTACCATCATCATTGTAAACCACTTTTCGCTCACCCAAGTATGGACGGTCTGAATTCTCGGCAACGATGGTTTGGAAACTCTCGTATGTTGTGCAACGCCCGGGCGTGTCAGCCAATAATGGAGCTGGCCAGGTGGCTTCACCATCTACGTAGTATGGGAATCTATGAGCGGATGATCCCCAGTCGGCACCAGCTGCGACAGCACTTTGCATTTGTAGATCTGTGTTCTGAGGGTTGGGGAAGCAAGATTGTTTCTCTTGGGGAATTGCTTGCATGTTGACCATATTTGCACGATTTGGATTTGTCTTTGAGTGTATTGTATATGTATTAATTAAAAACTGAGGTGACGCCGGCTGGGGATGCGCCTTTAAATACTTGTCAAAAAAAGTGGTTTCAGCTCCATACAGTATACACATGTACAAATGATAAAATAGACAAATAAAATCATTTCTTTCACTCATCCGAGTTTTTCCAACTCATCGGGTGTTTTATTCAATATATTCCACATTCCAGGAATCCAGGAATTAATTATTTTTTTGTCTATTTTATCATTTGTGCAGTTGTTTACATTTGGTCAAAAAAAAAAAGGACACTCAGAAACTCTGGATACCTCACTATCATATTGATATGATATATGTAGATGAAGATGTGAGGACGAAAAGCGATGTGCCGGTCAGCCGGTGTATAAAAGGAAAATAATATTACTGGAAAATAGTAATACATCAACACACGAGTCCTAAAGCACACTCATCTTTCCGAAAAACAATGCTTAGGTATACGATTGCAGCCGCAGTAGCAACTGGCGATTATGCATCGCTGGACGCTTCTTACAAACCAGCCAGCGATTTCACAAAAGCCGAGATTGCAGAGTCCGTCAAGAACCTCAACTTCAGCGACTATACAATGTATGAGGAGGTTGACCGTGGATTTGTTGTCGCCCCAAACACAACAAGAATAATGGATACAAGCGGCGAAAATGTAGCTATCGATTCCGACGCCATTATTGCGCTGGTTACACCTGACTCAACCGAATGTCCGGATACCGTCAACCCCTCCACATGGCGACAGGCGCAGTTCCTGGCGCGTACTGGTGTCTACAAAGTGCAAGACAAAGTGTATCAAGTACGTGGTATGGATCTGGCTACAATGACTATCATTGAAGCTCCTGAAGGACTGATAGTGGTAGATCCACTTGGCAGCTCCGAGAGTGCCAAGATAGCATTTGAACTATATATGACGCATGTCGGCCCCCATACCGGCGCCAATCTAACACTACACAGTGTCATTTTCACACACTCTCACATCGATCATTTCGGCGGAGTCCTCGGGCTCGCACCAGAGGAATCCTTTACTAACGGTTACATTCAAGTGGTTGCCCCTCTAAACTTTGTCGAAGAAGCGCTGTCCGAGAACTATATGGTCGCCGGATCGATGTTCCAACGTGCATTCTACATGTACGGAAACCTTATCAAACCTCATGCCCAGGGCTCAATCCGCGCTGGACTCGCATTCGGTGCTGCCAACTCACAGTTTGGCTTCGTGGCACCCACCATCTCTATTGACACTGATCTCGATCACCATACAGTGGCTGGACTGGATTTTGAATTCATGCTGACTCTGAGTACTGAAGCACCAAGTGGGTTTCACTTCTTTGTGCCGGAGTTGAAATTACTTAATACGGGTGAAAATGCTGTTATGGGTATGCATAATTGCATAATTTCTTAACGCCCAGAGGTGCGAAAGGTCGGGATACTATAAAGTGGGTTGCGGCGCTCCAGAAGACCTTAGATCATTATGGTTCCAAAGTGGAGAACATGATCGGACAGCATCACTGGCCTAAATATGGCAATGCTGCTGTTGTCGAACATCTCGAAAATTATCGTGACACTATCAAGTTCACCCATGACCAGGCTGTTCGTTTGCTGAACTTAGGCCTAGGTATGGAAGAGATCAGCGAAACAATCGAGTTGCCAGCCTAACTTCAATACTCGTGGTCACTACGGACATCTCAAACACAACTCCAAGGAGGTATATCAATTCTATGTTGGCTGGTGGGACGGTAAACCCGCTACCTATCAGCAACTTCCTCCGGTCGAGTGTGCACAGCAGTATGTTGCCGACATGGGAGGAAATGCAGAAGCACGAAAGAGGGGCGAGTGGCACCGTGACAACGGAAACTACAGATACTACGCAGAGATCATGAACCACGCGGTTTTCAACGATTCCACGGATGTGGAAGCAAAGTATCTGGAAGCTGATTGTTTGGAGCAGATCGGCTACAGCGAAGAGAGTGGGCCTCGCCGCAATTATATGCTGACTGGATCTGAAGAGTTACGACATGGAAAAGGGGCTTACCCACCTGCTGACCTTGGACCATCGTTTGTTTTGAACATGCCATTGTACATGCTTCGCCAGGGTCTGGAGATTCGAATCAAGCAAGCCAACAAAGCGCACGGATTATCGATCTTGGTCGGTGTTGAAGAAACCAACGAGATGTTCAACGTTCGTATCTCGAATGCGGTCAAGCTGTCGCTACCTATCACCGACAAGGATGCACGCCCTGGGTCTACGGCCAGTTTCACAGCCAAACCCAGATCTGACCTCATCGCTGCTCTGGTCATCGGAAACTCTTCGCTGGTCAGTGTGACTGGTGATGTAGATACACTCATGGAGTTTGCTAGTTGCATATCCACCGATGAAGACGCAACTTGAAATGTGATGACTCCTAGAGACTTCTACAAGCCCAAACCACAGAAGACATACTCTGCCAGTTTGATCCAAACATCAATGGTACAGACGTCTACAGCTGAATCCAGCTGCGTCGAGCAGTCCTGTCTGGACCAAGGTCTAAGTGTGGGTGCTGTAGTAGGCGTTGCCGTAGCAGCATTGATAGTTGGGCTGGTTGGAGGCATCGGTGGCACGACAATTGTTTACCGAAGGTAAAACAACGCATGCGCGGCTGAATCGACCACAGATCTTGGTTAGAGATGACTTGCATTTACTTCAGTCAGCCAATAAAAATCAATCACATACGTATACTTCTGTCTACTCCATATTCAAAACTTGGTACAGATTAGCAACACTATAATATATGCATATATACTAATAATATCTTAAAGAAATCACATACATACCAACAAGCAAGTGTTTACACATTACTACTGTGCACACAATCAGAGAGCGACGCACACAACCTTACACACACGTATACATACGCAAGCACAAACACACATACATATATTTACAATATCAATGTA